ATCAACTACCTTTTTCGGCCTGAACAACAACACAGACTGAGACAATCTACAATCTTCGACGCATTGTTAACATTGTTTTTGTCAGAGTTAACTGGCTACCACGACTTGTGGTTACAATAATCTTAGGCTGAGCACTCAGTTTTTAAGCCATTTTTTGAGACTGTTTTGGGAATTCCTCAAGTTCTTTGAAAAACACTTCCACAAATTTAGTTATCATGACTGGTGGTGGACCCGTCTCAAAATGTCGCCAGATAATTCAACGAGATCGCAAAGGATTGGCAAACTTAAACTCGACTGTTGCGTCCCATTCAAGTAGGTTGTCTAAGTCAGGTCCCTATCATAGTCTGAGCAGCATGCCACATTCGCCCCAGCCTTGAAAACACTCAGTTGATAGATGTTATCTCCCAGAGACTAGATTATAAGACTCTGTCTCAATTATCGTCACTCATTCGACAAAATGTCTCCCATTTATTATCCACTGTGATTGCCTGGAAATCATGAGACGATGGTCTTTGGATTAGCCAGTGTCAGTATCGCACTAAACATAGCTGGTGAAAATGCACCCGCAGTAAGCTCTAGACCGCATTCAGGTTAAACATCAGCGAACGCAGATGTTCATTTTTATTGTAGCTTACGTGTCAACCACATTCCAGATTCAACAGTGAAGTTGAGGACCTGGTACGCAGAACACGTGACAAAAATGTCATGACGTGAGTCTGAGACTTGAATACCGAAGTTGGATGAATTGAGATTATCTGAGGTGATTGGCGCCAATAAGTGTGACTCATGGTATGTTTATGTTTTCTACAAGCTTCCGGCAAAGTTTGACGAAATCCCAGTTGACTTCTAATGTACAGGTTTAGGCGCGGACCGACCAAAGCACAACCAGTTATCGTTGGCGAGAAAACATGTCGGAAAGTAGGTGCTACTGAGGCTTTTAGATTGACTCCCATCTTGCTTTACTCTCTGAAAAATGCACTGTTAGATTCAGAGGACGACACGTGCTGTTCCAGATTCAGTGATTCAACGTGATAGGCAGAACTGCGATTCCCACAAGCTCGAGATAGGATCCATTTGGGCTATTCACCGCCGGCTGCATTTCAGCAACTTGATTCACCAGGTTAACCTCCAAGCATGTGAACATATCGGACAAACAGCTGAATATCGATCGGTTCTCTGGAAAAACTTGAGGCTCAGCAGCGGATACCGCCCGACCGCTGATAATACTTCACCCACAGTCGGGTAAAAATGGAGCTGGGTGTGTCGTTCAGAAACGACAGGGAAGCTTTGTGGTCTTCGAGCCAGGAGATGTGGCTACCTCTGGGAACTGCCTAAGATCTTCCCAACTTGCGAAGGCTATTTGTTGGCCTTGAAAACCTTATGTCAGTGACACCAGGGCTGAGAAAAGTGACGAACTGACTAGTTTACCCAAACATGTTCACGTTGTGCTAAACACTTCGAAGATCGATTTAAATGCACCTCATGGTTAATCTGTACCGCGCCATCAAGTATAAGCGAGATATTCGTGGCAAAGGAATGGGGTTGGATGATATGCCACCCAGGTCTTTTTCAATATGAAGGCCATCTAAATAAGACCACCAGTGTTATTCCCACTCACAAAAGCATTCTGGACTGAACTGCTGTAATCAAACACGCAACAGCTTAATCAACGTGGGAGCACAACACGCAGATAGCAAACCCGAGAGCACCAAGGACAAGGCTTCATCAGTGACACCTTTCGGTTTGCGACATTTACACGTCCCACAACGGATGCCGTCGACCCTGTTATTCCTTGAAATGACATGAAGTCGGCCGTCTCCAGTTTCTTTCACCAACAGTCAGGTCGAGTATTTGGCGAGTTGTCCCTAAAGTTCGACCGTCCGAACCACAAAGTTCTCTGATTTTTCTGTATTGCTTAAATTTGTCATCGATTATGTCAGGAAATCGGGTTGATATACAAGTACTCCAAGTACTCTACTACAATGAGGGCGACGTCATGACAGCTTCGATGTGTGTTCCCGATGTACTACTACTTTGGAAAGGCTAGTGTACTGCGCTCGTCGCTTTAGTTCGAAGCTGGCACCAAAATATAGCTTTGTAGAAAGATCAAAAGTCTTGTTCCACATTGTATGATGAGACCTTGCAGGATTCGAGGATTCGGTGGGAGCTGAGAACCAGTAATGGGCAGGGTAGTCTTTGTGTATCCGGAACAGCAAATCCACGCCATCCTCCAAATAATTGAAGACAGAATCAGAATAACAATGAAGTCCTTTCACCCAACTTTCTTACACCGAATTCCGCGATGGAAAAAGTAGATAAAGTGTATCAATATTCAAGTTATCGATTAAAAAAGCATAAGATAATATGGCTCCGACTGCTTGGTCACATTTCCACCCCAGACTTCACGAACAGACTGGGCCTTGTTGTGGCGTGGACAGTTTGCACACCTGAGTGACCCATTGAGCTATACTGGGAGGTGTCCCCGCGACACGCAGTCCCTCATACTAGGTTGGTGAATGTTTAGAGGCCTGACAAATACAGTCTCCTGGTCCTCCAGGTTGGGGATTGGAATATGTGGCGACTTGTTCCGTAGAAATGGTAATGCATTTGCATTTCCCGCCAAACATCGCTGCTTTGCAGTTAGGCCTTTGGGCCAGAGGCTTTTGTTGAGGACCCTAATCGTCCCTCTGTCTAGATGTGGGCGCCCTGACATTATCCCAGCCCACGTAAAGCCATGACAGCGACACTAATCGCTTTGCAGGATGGGGACCGTGTGATCCTCATTGCGCCTGGTTAGGTACGCTACAGGATATGGCTGCCAACCGAAGTCAGTGGCGTTGTTGTTGTCAGTTTCCATCCAGATTGCCTGAGTGAATGTTTGGAGGTGTAGGCACCCCGGAATGATTGTGATAAGCTAGCATGAGGTTCCTTCCCCATCTAACTTTATTCTTTTCTTCACAATAAGGCTTTCCAATAAATCAAGGTTGTACGGTAGTGAAGCATCGGTGCTGAGCACTGGTGTCATGCTGTCGATGATGACGGTTTATTGATGATTGCCATCTTAGGAACAAGTTCAGACCGAGGACCAGTGGACCTAAAAGTTTCCACAAATGCATAACCAGGTTTTAATTTGAGCAGATCAACAGGATTGCTCATGAATGGTCACAATACATGTCAAACCAGAGCATCTGACAGTTACGAGGTAATGGGTTTTGAGATTAGTCGGGTTACGATTAGCTCAGCCACGTGAAGTCCTTCGTCCCTCACTGACCTCAATAACGTCAGCTATGTGAGTCCCAAAATGGAAGAAACTCCTCATGCGATAAAGATTTAAGATTTCCAGGATCACCATTATAAACAAATCACAACTCATCAATTTGCAATACAAGGTGGAAATTTCCCGACGGCATGTCTGATACTTCCTGAAGCACTGTGCTTCACAGTGCTCGTTGCTCGAGGAGCCAGTCAACACGTGTGACCGCGTGATGTCGATCCCGTGATTGAAGGATGAGCGGCGCTATATCCTGTCTAAGTGCGAGTTAATCACACTGCTGATCAGCCACTCGTGGCCGAACGGTTAAGTGTTCAAACTACTAGCCGGGAGGTCGCGTGTTCGAGACTCTCCGGAGTTTCGTGAGATGCGCACTGCTGATCATTCCCAATAAGGATGAAACAGCTGTACAGTACTTCTCGGCTTTTCAGCACAGATTGGCTCCACTTACAGGAAGAAATCTCCACAAAAATCCCAAATCTCCTCACACTACCAACAAAACAGTTTCCTTCTATGTTGTCCATCATAGAGCACATATTAGGCCACCTGTTTCAGACGCTCGGGGGAGTGACCATTTCCACTCAAACTTATTAGAATGGATATAATCTCAGTGCCTAACACAGATAGTCATAGGTAACTGGTCACAACTTGTTCGTGATTTTGTAACCCGAACAGTGGCGGCAAACACTGACAGGTTACTTTAACCATACACGGTTGTCTATAGACATTAAAGTGAGGCCAAGGGAGCTCTGTGGTCAAGAGACAAACCTAGTGACCAAATGGCTCGTGGTTCGGAACCAGCCCCAGCATCTCAAGCGCTCCTCTCTAGACTTCGGCAGGCTGGGGTATCACCGCCCTCGTGCTTCCTTCGGTTGGTATGGTGATAGGTAATGGAGGGACCTAGGTTAACAAGATAGAGCTTGGAAGAGTCTAGGGTGGGATCCAAATATCGGCGAATTCATACAACTGGTTGCGATTCGTCCGATAGAGCTAAACAGGTTACGCCTAATTTTCTCATTAAAGAGAGAACTTTGGCCAATAGGCAACAGTAGATTGCGGCTGAAATGTTAAAACATAACTGAAAAACTTTGTTCCATCTACCCCAATAAAGGACTGTACAGACGATGAGAGTATTCCGGAAGCAACGCTGTAGCAACTGGCCTCTGTCGACAAGTTATTTGACTGAAGTCAATTCGTTTGTATATATTCACAGGTGCAAATCCACGTTTTGTACGTGTCCTGTATGCTTAAGCGCATTTCAATGGAGCCATTGGAACTCGGGAAATGAGATATCCAAAATTTAATTACGAGAGTTAGCCAGGTTAGCCTGTCCCGTCTCTCCAATTAAGGATAGAAAAAACTACAACTAAACCAAAACTGGTCTCATTCAGCCACAAGGTCACGGCATTCGAAACCTAGCGTTTTCGCGCTTTCATTTCTGATTCGCGTGGCATTTACCTTATTAGTTAGTTGTCACATCTTAACGTATCATCTGAGAGCGACAGGTAGGGGGAAGTGGGTTGGAATTGGACTAGACACAACAATTATACCCATGACTCAAACAATGGGCAAAATAGATATTGCACAGTTGAGTGGATGAAAACATCTGGTAATTGTGTAGCAGATTGCAAAAGAAATACAGGTACGGGTGTACGCTGTCTACTCTCAAACATAAAAAGCTACGAAACCCTGCGACCACAAAAAAGTGAATGTCTGAAGTCATGCATAACTAGTGTTGGGAGGACATCTGGCTGACAGGATGAGCTGTCTTTAGATCAACAAACTCATGGCGATTGACCTCGAGATTTTGCACACACGGAACAGGGTTTCGAAGTCTACGAGCGGCAGCTTCAGCTGCATCCAACATCCGGATATTGACGAGGCTAGTTCGGTTGGTCGGGATCCTGTAGAGAAGCAAGAAAGTTGTAGTATGACAACCACGAAGCCGGCAATAGCCCTTCATTTTTCAAAATGGAAGCACAGTCAGGTCCACCTACACTCCAGTCCGACAGTTTAGAACAGCCGTAGTAGCTGTGATCAAATCACGATCACATACCACTGTTCAGAAGCCTTTTGTGGAATACTATCCGTGTGTAACCGCTACGGTTTCTCATACCAGGTGTACTGTGGTCTCCCGCTTCTTCAGACTTCCTCGTTAAATAACATT